GGGGGAGGGGGAGGGGGAGATGGAGGGGGAGACGGAGGGGGAGATGGAGGGGGAGGGGAGAAGAATACAGGAGTAAGCTGAATACAGGAGCAAGCTGCGGGACACGGGCAGGCAGGGGAGCAGAGGGTGGGTGGAGGGGCCGGACAGAGGGAAAGGTGAGTAGGGATGTATACACACACGTACACAGACACACATGCCACGTGTGGATGGATGGAGAGAGGGAGGGAGGCAGTGACAAGGTGCACACGTCTGCCAGCCACCACAGGGGAGAGGGCAGGGGCTGAGAGGTCAGAGTACCCAGCCCCAGCCCCCTGGGCAGGGGGCTCACAGACCCGAGTGTCAGGGGCCAGTGCCCTCTGAGACAGGCGCCCAGTGCACATCCGGGAGCACGCAACCTCGGGCCGCCCTGGACTTTCTGGGCACAGAACGTGCTGATGCTAGACCAGCAGCCCCGTGCAGGGCAGCTCAGCCGTGCAGGGCGCCCGTGAGAAGCAGGCCCTGGAGGCTGAGGAGGCTGGCGCCACCGGGCGACACCTGTGCTGCCTCGGAAATTCTCACACCACCTGCAAATACCCATGTCCCAGATAGGCCATGAGGCCCAGGGTGGCGAGAGGACCCAGGAGGGTGGCACCACCGGCGTGGCTGAGCTGCAGCTCAGAGCCAGGCCCCTGCCTGGCTCAGAACCCGGGGCTGCCCACATACCTGGATCCCCTCGATGCGCTCGGTGACCACATAGGCGTGGTGCATGGCCACCAGCGGGACCCGAACTCCAGCCATCCGGCCCACAGTGCTCGCCCACACACCTGTGGGCAGACACAGGCAGCTCAGGTCTGCTGGCACCTGGGGGCGCTGCCACAGGGTGGGCACAGGTGCCTCTGCAGACCCGGCTGCCCTGCCAGGGACTCCCCCATCCAGAGAGGGGTCCTACAGGTACGACCAAGTTTGGGGGGGGTCGGTTTGGCTGCCCAGGAACTGGGAAGGGTCACTCCCACCTGCACAGTTGACCACACAGGGCGTCTGGATGGTGCCATGTTCTGTCTCCACGGCTGCCACCCGCCGCACTCCGAAGTCATCGGTCCGCACCTGGATGCCAGTCACTGGGCAGTTCTCAATGACCTGCAGAAGGAGCTACTTCTAAAGCCTACGGGGCACGAGGGTGCTGACCACCAACCCAGCCCAGCCATGCCCTCCCATGGCACCTGGGGACACGATTCCACCAGTGGCAGGCTTCACGTGGTGCTTTCAGGGATGAGGTAGCCACAGCACTCGGAACACTCCCCCCAGGTTCCTTGACTTGGAGAATTTGCTGTAAGTCAGGCGAGGGTGGGGAGGACTCTCTCTCATCATGGGAAAGGAGCTGGCTTTTCTTTTTAATGTTTTAGAGGGCACATGCGCTTGCCAGAGAGGGACAGACTGAGAGAGGGAGATGGGGAAAGCGGCCCCCAGTGGGCATGGCACGCCTCACGCCTTTCTCTTCCATTCCTCTACCCTGTTGGGATTTGGGGCATGCACGTACACAAGCCTGGCGAATTTATCAAGCCTGGGGCCAGGATTTGAACTGTATGGTTGGCCATGTGAGATCTGGCTCTTTTAACCCCAAGACACAGGGCCAGCCCAACTATGTTTTTTTAAAGACTCTTGATTCCTAGAAAGATATTTGCAGCCAATTCTTTAGTTCAAAAAAGGTCAGAAAACAATTACAGTTTGATTCTATTTTGTAAATGTATCTATGTAAATGTGTCTGTGTATACACACACATAGTATATGTATCTATGTACATGCATATATACACAGATTGTATATGTATCTATATGCATATATACACACAGATTGCATATGTATCTATATGCATATATACACACAGATTGTATATGTATCTATGTATATGTATATATACACACATTGTATACATATATATTTATATATACACAATGTATATGTATGTATATATATACACACATTGTATATGTATCTATATGCATTATATACACAATTTATATATATGTATGTGTATATATGCACACATTGTATATGTATCTATAAGCATATATATACACAGATTGTATATGTATCTATGTACACATATGTATACACACATTGTATATGTATATATTTTTATATACGCATTGTATATGTATCTATGTATATGTATATATGCACACATTGTACATATATTTATGTATATGTATATATACAAACACACACATTGTGTATGTATGTATATGTGTATATATACACACACACTATATGTATCTATGTATATATGTATATATACACACATTTTATATGCATCTATGTATATATAAACACACACATAGAATATGTATTTATGTATATGTGTGTATATACATGTATTATATATGAACCTATGTATATACACACACTGTATATGTATCTATGTGTGTGTATATATATATATATATATACATATACATATGCACACAGTGTATATGTACCCATGTGTGGGAGGCTGCGCACCAGCGAATATCCCTGGTTTCTCAGAAAGCAAACAATTACACAATGCCAAAGGCCATGATTGGCTCCCCTTCAAAAACCTTTCAGAACCATACTCTGATTGGCTACTTCCCATAAAGGCCACAATTGGTTCCCTTCAAAAAACCTGACCTTCGGGAACCAGCAGTTAGCGTAATGGCTATGTCGCTGGACTCCCACGTAGTCCCCTATAGCGAAAACCTCTCAAAAAAAAAAAAAATCCTGACCTTCGAGACCATACTCTGCTTGGTCACTTCCCATAGCAAATCGGTGAGCTTAGAATCCCTCAGATTTGCATAATCTGGCACCTCATGATTGGTCCACAGAAACAACCAATCATAACCCACCTTTTACAATCCTTCATTCAACCAATCACTGCCCACCAGCATGTATATAACCACGACCCCTGGCCCACAATCGCCAGATGACACAGATGACCCCGGAGAGCCTGAAGAGCTGAAACACCGCACAGTCTACGGATGACCAGGAAGACAACACAGACGACCCTGAAGAGGTGTGACACCGTGTCGTCTCCGGACGACCCTGAGGGGTTGTGACACCGTGTAGTCTCTGTGCTGCTCACAATAGACGATGCGATGCATCATCTCCATGCTGTACCGTGCTGCCCACAATAAACGGACGACCCTGAAGACACTGTGTCGTCTCCGTGCTTGTCCCAGCTCTCACTCCTTCCCTCAGGAAGCCTGCTCGACTGTCCCCCTGGGTCGGGACACCCATTATATACATATATGCACACACTGCATATGTATCCACGTATATGTATCTACATACATATACACTGCATATATCTACACATATGTATGTACATATCCACACACATTATATATGTATCTATGTATATGTATACACATATATGCACACACTGTATATGTATCTGTGTATATGTTTTTTATTTGGGGTGTTTTCTTTGTGAGGTTTTTGCTATAGGGCATGAACACTTGCCAGAAAGACAGAGAGACAGAAAGTGAGAAATCACCCCCCAGAGGGGATGGCCACGCTGCAACCCCTTCTCCTCCATTCTCCTCTCGGGATCTTGGGCACGCATGCACACGTGCCCAGTGTGAGTTTAAGCCACCGGGTCTGGAAGTTGAACTGCGGACGACTACATGGGAGTCCAGCTGTCATAGCCATTATGCCATCTGTTGGTCCCATCTACATATGTGTATATACATATATGCATACACTGTATATGTATCTATGTATATGTATATACATATATGCACACAGTGTGTGCATATCTATGTTTACAAATATATATACACACATTGTATATGTATATATGTGTATATGTATCTCTATTATGTATATATACACACATTGTATCTGTATCTATGTACATGTATCTTTGTATATGTGTACACATTGTATATATATCTATGTATATGTGTGTATATATATACACTGTATATGTGTGCATATAGACACACATTGTATCTGTATCTATGTATATGTGTATATATATATATATATATATACACACACCATATATGTATCTATGTATATGTGTGCATATAGACACACATTGTATCTGCATCTATGTATGTGTATATATACACACACTATATATGTATCTATGTACATGTGTGCATATAGACACACATTGTATCTGCATCTATGTATGTGTATATATACACACACTATATATGTATCTATGTACATGTGTGCATATAGACACACATTGTATCTGCATCTATGTATGTGTATATATACACACACTATATATGTATCTATGTACATGTGTGCATATAGACACACATTGTATCTGTATCTATGTAAATATATCTATGTGTATGTGTATATATACACAGATTGTATATATACCTAGGTATATATGTATATATATATACACACA